AGGCCCTCGTGAGAGGGACAGGCAGCGGCTCCAGCGCGCCCTGTAGAGCAGCCGTCCCCACAAGCGCGCCCCCGCTGCTCAGCCCTTGCCCCGCCGCCCAGGCGGCCCCTCGCTCACCCCGCGGATGTCCCAGTAACCCAGTGTCATCGGCATGGCGCGGGTTGCCGTGGACTGCGTGGACGGGCCTTGGCGGGGCTGGGCTGCGACTGTCTCCGGATGCCGGGGAAAACAGGTTCTCTCCGACCTGCTGGGCTCCGCGGGTCTTAAATGTCGTCACTTCCGACAAGTCTTCCGGGATGCGCAGGCGCAGGAGGCCGGGAGCGGGCAGCCTGAGCCTCAGTGGGAGGAGGGAGTTCAGATCCGCTGCGCCTACCAGCCCCCAGGGTTCAGGGAGCCAGGTCTGGGCGCCCAGAAGCCGAAGTAGAGCTCGGGCTCACCTGCTTCCCCGGCCCTGCCCCCATCCACACCTCTGCTACGTGGCAGGGGTTGGCCGTGCACCTGGGAGAAAAGCCAGATCTTAAAAGTGCAGAGCTCTTCTCCCTTCTCTTCGCCTCTTGGCTGCCGAGTTCCCATGGGCCCTGGGAGCCTCAGGCTGCCAAGGTCTGGCCAAAGAGCGGTGTCCCCAACCCGAGAATTTAGATCAGCACTTCATCCCTATTAAGTCATAGAAATCTGATCGTGTGCTCATCTCTGCTAAGTTAGGGAGCTTGGAGAGTATGTCACTGGTGCGGCAGAACTCAGTTTCTGTTGCGGATGCTCCTCGCCCATTTAGACTGGGCTCTGAGACCAGGGTCCAGGCTGAGGAAGAGGCCTCTGTGTCAAGGTGGATTCCCATGTAGGTTTGCCTACATGGTGCGGTGGCACCGTGCACATACACAAGTGCTTGGACTTCTGAATAGTTATATTTCTCATTATACATTGAGTTTGTCATTCTGAGTTTTAAACATCTTGAGGTAAGAAAGATAACATTTCCAGATTCAACTGAGAAAATGATTTTTTAAGAAAGCTATCACCCATGAGAATTATAATTTTGAACGACATAGAAGAGATATTGTTACATTAGTATTCATCCATTTGGTCATTTCTTTATTGCAAAAACAGTTGTTGAGATCCTACCATATCCTAGGCACTCCGAATAAGACAAACCAAGAAGGTTGTCGTTTGGCTGCCTAAGACTGGAAGTCAGGTGGGAACTGCAGGGGAGAGATTTTGAAAATACGGACACATCTTAGTGTGTTTACGCACTGAGAGGCAGTGGAGGGGGACAGAGGTGGAGTGCAGCGGACAGGAGCAATCCATGCTCAGGCCAGGACTCTGAGGAGCCAGGAACATGGGCCCAGGACACAGGCGGCTTGTTCAGCAGGAGGAGGACTCTGCGGGAGGGGAAGGACTAGACCAGGGGGTCTCAAAAGCAGGCTCCACAGTGGCCGAGGATCCCAACGGATGAAACGGGTCTGCGCCAGGCAGTCGGGAGCAGCAGGGATGAGGGAAACTTAAAAGTGGTGTCCTTGAGAAGAATGTGTATTGTGTTTTTTGTTTGTTTGTTTGTTTAGACGCAATGTCTGTCTCCCCAAGTAGAATGCCGTGGCGTCACCACAGCTCACGGCAACCTCAAACTCCTGGGCTCAAGCTGCCTTAGCCTCCCGAGTAGCTGGGACTACAGGTGCACGCCACCACGCTCAGCTGATTTTTCTATTTTAAGTAGAGACAGGGTCTCACTTTTGCTCAGGCTGGTCTCAAACTCCTGACCTCAAGCAATCTTCCCTCCTCAGCCTTCCAGGGTGCTAGGATTACAGG